AGGAGGAGGAGGAGGAGGAGGAGGAGGAGGAGGACAAGAACTAGAACAAGCACAAGAATATCATTGAATAGAAACTATGCTTTTCGAAAAAAAAAACCCAGGACATTTGCAGAAGCGGAAATGTAAATAAATCCAAAAGGTCAATGAATTGCCTCAGCCAATCACAGCTCCTTGTTGTTATCGTGTTTTGAGCAGTTCGCTCATAGCTTGCCGACAAAAGAGAGGGTAACATCGATTCCCATCTACGGATTCATTACACCATGCCCAGGCTTTGCTCTCAATGAACCTAGGCCACACTATACAGTTATAGCTCTGGCAAATTATTATGTTCTGTCCACGTCATTGAGAAGTGAGTAGTTGTGTATTACGTGGCTAATTGTTGGGGTGTATTTTCGTGCGTGCCGGCACGATACAGATGTCATTCCACGGGAAACGGATTAAGAGTTAGGAGGCTGGTAACATTGAAAAAGAAGTAGAAAACGTAAGAGGAAACGCTGGAGTGAGGCTAGAAATGAACAATTCCATTGTGAAACGCGCTATACTCCAAATCAGAGCATTTCCGGATAACCCCGTCCGCCCTATACTCTAATGATAGGAATTCGTCGTAATTTCCTTCTTATTTTTGTGATACCATTAGCTGTGGATATTGTTTAGTCAAGTAAACAGAGTCTAGTAAGAGAAACAGTAAAAGAATGAGTGACTCAACAGTGGGCGTTCTTTTCAAATTTACTCATTTCATATTGAGTTTCCTTTTGATAGAAAAATAAAAGCCTCCTTGTAGGAGAGCTGTGGATAGTTGTCATGCCATAATAATAATAATTATTTTTTTGGGGGGGGGGGGGGGTTAGAATAAAGGCTGTTTTTTTCGTTAGATAATTGTATATTTTATCCATCTGAATACAGTAAACACAAGGGAAAACAAACGGGAAAATATGAGCGCTAGGATTTATTTGCAGGCATTGCACGTTCATTTATATGTGTATGTGCATAGATAGAGAGATATACAGATAGGTAGATAGATAGATAGAGTGATCGAAAGAAAGAAAGAGAGACAGAGAGAATTAATGTATATATAT